GGTATGTGGTTAAAATGTTTATTAAATGAAATAGGCTATTTGAAAAATGAAGTAACAGTTTTTTTCAGATAGTCAATCCGGAATCCAGCTTTGTAAAAACCCAGTTTTTCATGATCGAATGAAACATATAGATGTTAGGTTTCATTTCATTCGTGATATAGTGTCTAAGGGTTTTTTAAAACTAGAAAAAATACCTTCTGAATATAATCCTGCGGATATGGGAACTAAAGTTTTATCAATAACAAAATTCAATTTGTGTAAGAAAACAGTGTATATCGATACTTTTGTTAGAAGAATCTTTGAAACTTAAAGGCTTGTATCTTTTGAATTTTAACATTCTGTTTTTAGCATGATACATTTAATCATGTAGCTGTTTGTGTGGCTGTTTTTGTTTAGTTTTTCAGCTGATTTGTTTTTTATGGCTGTTTTGTTAAAACTTGAGAACATTAACCGTAATAATAAGTCTGCAGGTTAAAAGACTGAAATCGTTGGAGCTCGGACAAGGATGACACCCTTAAAGCACTTTCTCCAATGCCCAAAAAGGTGGAGATTTGTGATGTTTTTTGCATATTACACTTCGACCCGACCCAGCCTATCGAAACCCGAATCCTGTGCCCGCGGTTCAACCCGATTGAGTGATGAATTGGATGATGGGTTCGTTTGGCCTGAACCGCCCTGGACCGCCCCGAACCGGTTTGGAGTCTTCATATAAATGAGTGTTTCCCTGGTTCGGTTGATAGCGGGATTCATTCTCTCATCCCTTCACCTCGCGATACTCTCTTAAGCCCTAACTTCCCGACGCATCGCGATCGATCTGTGCTTGGTCTTTCCGGCGAGATTGGCCATTGAAGCTTGATATTCGTCCCCTGTGGTTGTGATTCAGCCTGTTCTAAGGCTGTTCTTCGGTTTGATTTCTCGATTCTGTCTTTATGAGCTGTTCGTGGTGTTATTTGGTTGTCCGCGATGATTTAGGCTTAGAATCTTGAGTTTTTCTTTCGATTGGGGTTAGATTCGCGCTGATTGTGCGTTTCCGTGGATGTCGATAGGGTTTGGGTTGAGGTTGTGTGTATATGTTGCTATTCGGTTGGAACTTTGGGTAAACTGAGTCCGAACTTATTCGATTTTGAAAGTATATAAAATATTCAATGTTTCTTGTTTCGTATGTGTTCGATTAGTTGTAAACTACAAGTATTAGGTCCTTTATTACATCAACAGTAATATATTGTAAGTTGTAAGAGTATTTATTGTGTTAGGTGTGTAGTATAATAATTAAATTAGAAAATGATACCCTTGTTTTGGAATGGATAAAAGTAAAAAAATGGTATTTTTGTTATTAGACAGAGGAAGTATCATTATTTCGAACTTTCTATACTTACACAATGTAACATAAGCATCACATATAAACAAAGTATATTTTTATTGAGAAAGTACATTGAATATTAGAAAATTTATTTTGAAATACAAATAAAACGAACTTTAATTTTTAGTTCAATATGCGAGGTGGTCAACGAATTCATAGGCAACCAACGAATTCTTGGAAATAAAAGGTAAAATATTAGGAATATTGAAAATATTTTTTACATCCAGTGCGACAATTGTAATCGTCGGGTTGCCATATTGTGAAATCTCTGTAAAATCTTTTTGATTTCACATTTTACAAAAATATTTTTTTCAATATAATATACTAGACAATCCGCAAGAAAATTATCTCGTGTTACACAAATCAGTCTTTATAATCTTCATAGCAGAAAAAGATCTTTCAACTGTTGCAGTTATGACGGGCAAGACCAATACTAACACTATAAGTCGATATATCAAATGAAAAACAGTATAAGCTTTGAACTCAATCATCTTATTTGCAAGACCTTCAATGTCACAAAGATTTGAGAAATCCGATTCTCTTCGCACATAATGAATGTATGATTGAAGTTGTAATCTCAATTCCATTAGATTCTCCCCAGTAAAGTCTTCTGAGTACAATTCAGACATGTAGAATATCTGTTCAAAATCAAAGTTAGCAGACAAATTGTTAGGATCAAGGCAAGCTATGCACATAATCAGCTCAGAATTCAACTCAAAAAATCGGGCATTCATTTATTAAGAAATAGCATCAACAAGCTACAATTAAAAAATTAATAATATAAAATAATAAGTGAATATCATTATAAAATGAACAAGAATTTAGTTGTCCGTAAAACTATGTTTATACGAGAATGGTGAATATAAGTCTTTCATCCCATCCAATATTCTTTTTGCCCAACCCAATATAACATTTTCCATATTGAGTACTAAAATCTCATTTTAAAAACAAAATTCAGTTAATTCCTTCAAAAACTCATTCCGACCATTATTTCTAAATACCCTCATTTCATCTTTCAGTGACTCTATCAATTGCACAACAAGAGATATGTTTTGATTCTTATGTTGTAAAGTTTGTAACAAAACAATTATCATTCCTAATAAACACATAATCAAATGACCAATGGATATAAATTTAAAACTCTCCATCTTATCAATCACACTACCGCAATGAATCGACTCTTCGGACCATCACCATCCTCAAATACTGCACTTCTTTCATCACATCACATAATTGAAAAAGTCAAAGAATTGTTTTTATGTGAGAACCCCAATGAGTATCACCCGCTCGAGCTGAGGCCATTTCTTAAGTTTTTCCTTTTCCTGTCAAAGCACAACCTTCCTCTATACGTTTGACATGGGCATCATGTTGTTATCTCAAATTATCTCTCTTTTTACATGAGGCTCCAACAACGTTTACAATCATAGAAAGGTATTTAAAGAAATTTAAGACATACCCATTATTTCTCATGCTAGCAACAACAACAACAAGTAATTGAAGTTGATGAGAAAGACAATGGATATAATGTGCACGCCCATTTTCATTTAAAACAAGTGCTTTAAGTCATTGAACTCACCTCTCATACTACATGCACCATCGTGGCCTAGACCTCTTAGTCTTCATAATGACAACCTATTTTTTGCAAAAATATCATCAATATCATTTTTTCAAAGATTGCGAACAAGTATCACTAATATGTACCACACCAAAATATCGTCCAATCACTTCTCCATCATCATTAACAAATCTTAGAATTATCGACATCTGCTCCTTTACCAAACTATCTCGCACCTCATCAATTAAAATAGAGAAATATTTATCTCGAATTTTATTCAAAATCACATTTCTCACCTCTATAGCACATACATTGATAATTTGCTTTTGAATATCTGGAGAACTCAATTGATTGTTGGCAGAGGCATTTGAATTCATTACACTATTTATGTCTTTATTCGCTCACAATACCAACTGATGAGTTCAAGAAACTTACATCACTGCACGGATTGTGATGACTCGTCATGTCCACGAAAAACTAAGCCTTGTCCCAGAAGATATCGAATTATATTAACAACAACAGTCAACCGAGTGTAATAAGTGATCTACATTTCACTACTTTTTTTGCACAAAAACACAATCCACATTATACTTTTGATCTTTATATCCAAAGCATTTAGCTCTAGCATATTTATATGAACTATTTTTACCAACCCCGTGCTCCTTGAATTTCTGAATAGCCTTTTTTTCAAGTTTAGTGAATGCATCCACTTTGTATTTATGCCCTTCACCAAACAAATAGCACCAAAGACAAAAAGACAAAATCTTTAGACACACTATATTTTAACCCGACAAAACTCTTGAACCATGCCTCTTGAAACTTTGTTTTACACTCATATTGACTTAGCGGAAAATCATATTATAATGATTGACAAGGTCCATTGGCCAAATATCGTCGCCTCAATTCATCTTTGATTTCTGTGATAACTTTCAATTGGTTTTGGAATGCCAAGATCACCAATAATACCATTCTCTTTATCCAATTTCGCCCGATTCTCTTTTATAATCTCATTAACATTAATATTAGAATTCGACTCGATACAAATTGAAGTCGCATCTTTTTATTTAGGATTTTTTGGAAGAAAATATATTTTCATTTTTCCCTAATTAAAAAAAAGATATAACAAATAAGAAATTCATATTTAAACAAATAAACACAAACAATATATTTTATAAAAATATAACCCTAAAAATATACTTACAAATTCACACCCAACAAGAGACAGGAGCAAGATTGAGACAAAAACTAGAGATTGTGACAATAGACAAACTGCAAAATAAAAAATTAGAGTTACAAAAATAAAATAGTATATTAAGATTAAAATTAAAAAAAAATTAAATTTATTTACCTAAATAGAAAAATTGTTCCCATACAAATACAAATACAACTATGACACAGCGTCTTCAAGTTTCAATAATTTTATTCATGCCGATTTTCGGATCCAAATGGCCAAGAAAAGGGAAAAAGAAATTTGCTAAGGAAGAACTAGAGGACAAACAAAACAAAAACCAAATAAGTTGAGAGATTGTCTGTCTGTCTAAAGACCTAATATTTATTATATGTTTTTTTTTATAAATAATAATAATTATTATATTATATTATATTATTATATTATATTTCTACTGTTTCTTTTATTTCTTTTATTATATCATATTTGGATATATTTTACATAATATTTTAAAATATATGATTATACATTTTAAATTTATTATATATTAATTATTTTAATTAATATACTTAATTACTTATTAATTATATTTAAATAAATTTCCACATGTATACAAAAATGTTGAGACAGTACATAGTTTCAAAAGTAATTCAATTCAAGAAGTTTGACAAACTCACAAATTAACTATACAACAGTTTAAACTTACTTTGTTTTGGTGTTTGGAATTTGAGTTGGGATTTGAATTGTAAAAATTTTGAACGTGATATAAATAGGTATTGATGTGATGTTTTGAATGTAATTTTAATTTTTAGTATAATATAAAAAATTTAAAATAAATATTTGATTTGATATTTTTTAGGGAAAAATTTTGGATGAATAGTAAAATTTTGATAAAATCCTACAAGCGAACACAGCCTAAAAGTAGTAGTGGGGATGGAGGCTGGAGATCTAACATCATAAAAACCTAAACTGGTCCAATCTCCACTGTAAAATTAGGGCTGACAGACAATTTCGATGTTTCCACCATTCTCCTGAACTCCAACATTTCTTCTCTATCCAACATGGAGACTCGAACTTGCAGGTCTTCATCAATTCCACGCCTTTCCCTCTCCACTAACATTTGCAGTGCTGAAAGGGCTGTTCTTCCTCTGCAGCTATGGAGTTGAAGAACTCTCAGACTTGGAATGTCTCCTAAAAATATCGTAACGTCGACCACTGTACCCAGATCAAGAATTTCCAGAACAGGAAAACAGCACTTGTCTATGTCCCTAAAATCTATTTCAGTGAAGCCATAAATTCTCAGATACTTTAGAGAACGAAATGGCCATCCCAAACGATTCGAACAGCCTCCTAAAATGCAGCCATTGATTCTGAGATCTTCGAGATTAAACAAAGAGGACAACAATCCCACATCATCCGGAAAAAGCTTGATGTTGTCTAAACTCAATTTCTTGAGTGATATTGGAAAGGAGAATTGGCGCAGCAAGACACTGTTCATATCCGATCTCGTAAGAAAATATATTGTCAATGATTCGAGCCCTTTTAAACCACAGATATTCTCGAGACAGTAATCTGCATTTTCCTTGTATAGCTTGATTTTTAGCTTCTTGATGTGTTTCATCTTCCTAAGGACTTCCTTTGTGCACTTGAAATTTACTATATTCATGAAAGTCTGAAGATGTTCCATAGCATTATCTTCTTGCAATTCAATGGTTGAAGGAGGGTTAGGGTTAGGGTTAGGGTTTGGGACATAAATCTCACTGAATTCCACATGTCTCAGATGCTTCATGCTCCATATTTCAATTGGAGCTGAAACTAAACGAGTGTTGTGACAAATTATAGTCTGCAAACTCCAAAGGTTCCATATTGCTGAAGGAACAGCTCTCACAGAGGTTGAACAACATCGAATGTACTTTAGGTTGACATGTCGAAAGATATCTTCGAAAGAATTTATGTCCACATCATCTACTACACGCAGCAGCGATTTATCCGATATCTCCGGCATACCCTCGCCACGGCATATTAAAGTGCGGCGCCGTGGTGGATTTAAGGCATCATCGAATTCTTGAGAGAGATCCTCTTCATTAAAAGCAATGTAATGATTCCTTGAGACCACATAGAAACTCTCTTGTTGAGCAATTGTTAGGCATAGATCTCGGATACATTCATGAAGACAACATGCTTTAATCTTTCCGGTTAATCCCTTCCAAAGGACTAAAACAAGATTCCTATCGACGAGATCCTTTAAATAATCCTCGCCAATTTCTTCCAAACTTTTGTTATCGCGACATTGTTGAACAAAACCCTCCGCAATCCATAGCTTAATAAGTTGAGAAGCACAAATTTCATGATTTTCGGGAAAATTACCCAAATAAAGAAAGCACGGTTTCAAATGTTCGGGTAAATATTTGTAGCTCAATGACAATATGTTGGCGTAACTTTCGCAATCTTTTAAAGTTAAAGTTGGCTTTAGGTCTCTTGTCACAATCTCCCATTTGTCTTTGATCAACGGCAAATTTTTCAGAAGCCCTCCAATGACACTGATAAAGAGAGGAACCCCTTTACATTTTCGAGCAATATCTTGTCCAATATTCTCAAATCCATTAGGGCAACCTTCTATTCCAAATGTAGTTCTACAAAGCATTTTCCAACTTGTAACTTCATCAAGAAATCCCTTCTCAAGAACTGAAACGTGGAAAGAAGCTGTCATTCTTGATGGTTTAGTTATTACAATGATTAATCGACTCATATTGTTGTTATCCGGAAGGCAAAACCTTATGGAATCCCAAATTTCTAAACTCATCATGTTATCTAATATAATTAGATATGTGCGACCAAATAATCCTTGGAAAAGAAATTCTTTCAATTGGTTATCAGTCACAGAAGCATCAATGTGTTCTTGTGCTATTAGACAAGCACACATTTGCTCAAGAACATCTCGCAAGCTGCATTCTTTGCACATTGTGACCCAAATTCTGACATCAAAGTGACTCAAAACAAGATCATTTTCGTAAGTAGATTGAGCTAGTGTGGTCTTACCAATTCCGACAATCCCGGTTATTACAATGACTTGAAGTGAAGATAGCCTTGCCATGAGGTTTTCCAAGATATAATTTTGTTCGATCTCAAGTCCCACTACAGGTTTCTTCCAAGAACCTGTCATGGAGTATTGGTGTAGATGGTGATGTGCAGGATGACTTGATGAACTTGCAAGAGACCTGGAGGGCAGCAGCACCTGATCTTTGAGTCCTACACACAACTGAATTATCGATTTCATATTTTCCACAACTCTTACAAGCAACTTAATCTGTGACAGGAGATCAGATCTAGATCCTTTGAAAAATTCAGCCACTATGCAATTATCAATGGCATCCTCTGCGTTGTGAGCTGCATCTACGATCTTTCTCTCCAGATCCCATAGCTGTTGACTGTCTCCATGAAAATGGGTTTTCAAAAATTCCTGAAACAAACAACCCATTTCCCCTAGACGATCAATTTGCCACCTGTAAAAAGTTAACTGGCTGCTGCTATTCTTGATGCGCCTGACGGTATGAAGAAAAGAAAGAACAGCTGCATAAGCAGCAGCCATCCCTAACCTCTAACTGCAGTTAATTCCTACATGTTTCAGAGGAATTTAGGCATGAATCCAGGGTTGACTTTTTTTTTTTTTTTTTCTTTATTATTGGAAATCTAATCAAAGAATTAAAAAGATACATACATACACCAGGAGATCGTAATGGATGCAAGAAACGTTCTGCTGGTGATTTGCTGAATCAAATGATCAACTGAAGCACCTGTTGTAGGATTGATTATTACAGATCCCGTACGTGGTTGATGATCTCTTAGCAGTTGGGAGTTAGGAGTGGCTGATGAATATTGAAGATTTAATTTATATAGCACAAGAAACATTCTTAGTGCGATGGTGGCCCCACACTTGTTGTAAACAGATCCCAATTGTTGTTGTTTTCTGTTGTACAGTAAAATGTTTTCGAAAATAGGATGATATGAAGCCTATAGAACCTGTTTTGAGTCCTACACATAACTCAATTATTGATTTCAAGTTTTGCTCCACTTTTAGTAGTAACTGAATCTGTGAGAGGAGACCAGATCTCGATCCCTTAAAAAAATTCAGCTACTATGCAATTATCAATGGCATCTTCTGCTTTGTGGTCTGCATCTTTGATCCTTCCCTCCAAATCCCATTGTTGTTGATTGTCTCCAAGACAATAAAATGTTTTCAGAAATTCCTGTACCGAAAAACCCATGTGTTCTAGATGATCAATTGGCCATCTGTAGAAACTTTGGCATGAAGAAGAGAAAGAAACTGCCGTAATTCCTCTAATAAGAAATATTAGAAACAGAGCACACAACATAAGGTTGAAGAAGGTAAGGCAGAAGAAGCTGAGAATAGCAGACTTTGAAATGAATCTGTTTTCATTGGTCCAAAGAAGAAGAGAATACAGAGTTCATATATATATATATATATCTATATATATCTCAGACTGATCCAATCTAAAACCACCTAGAGAAAATGGAATCAAACTACTGATATCTAACAACCTAACAAACACAATCAAAGTTTATTACAGAGGTAAAGACCACTGAAATAGTGATCCCATGTACCAAGAAGCACTGCACCAATCCACCTCGTAGCCGTTGCATGGAATCCATAGAGCCGAAAGCATAACTCTATCGGTAGAGGTCGAAGTGGCGGAGCATGGAGATGACAACATAATCGTGGATATAAATAAATACGACAATAAAATATGAAAAAACATATATGGAATATAACGGGTATGGATGTACCGGGAGAACATTTGATTCTCATACCATGTTGAAATATGAAACTGAAATTCTCTCTTTTAATCATAAGAATATATGCATATCTATAATGATATACAAATAGTCTAAATAAGATAAGAATCTTACAAATCTCTTATATAAAACAAATATCATAAATATAATATATATAAATATTTTTACATTTATCTATAATATCTGTATGATGATATAAACAAACTGAATTATGAAGAAATCTACATTGATTGCAAATGTAATTATTCGGTATAGTATCCCGAATATATCGAACAAAACCATATTTTCTATCGAACTTTTTGATATGGCGAAGGTATATATATAACGGTATTATACACCAAAATTTTTGATACAATATTGACATATACTGTTTATATAGAAATTTTTTACACAATGTCGTTTATGGTAAAGAGATGGAATAAGCACAAGACAGACAAAGTCCACATCGAATATAATTATTGAAAACTCGAACGCTCAAACTTATTCTATTTCCCCATTATAAAACAATTAAATAAACCTAAAATTCATCGTCTCCTCCTCTCAAGGGGAAATCACTCATCAATATATCAGAAGTTATGGAATCATTCACTAAAAAAAAAAAAAGTTAGAAATTTAGTTACAAAAGAATTTTGTAGCAAAATGTAATGAATTTATAGCAAGAATATTTTTGCGAACAAATTCATTTAATCACTTATACCGCGTTAGTAAAGGTCTTTGGCAATATATATGACTTTCGTAAAAAAAAAAAAAAGAAAAAGTTTTTTGCAATGAAAATTAAGAAAAAAGATATAGTTACAAAAGTTAAAATTGATAACAAAGAGTTTTAAAAACAAAATATGTATGGATTTTTTAGCAAAATAATTTTAGCTATCAAAAATAATTTTGTAGCTAAAACCTTTTGGCTATGAAAATAGAATTTTTTAGCAAAGAAATTTTAGCTACAAAATTAATTTTGTAGTGCATACTTTATTTTTAGCATGAAATCAATTTTTATTGTTAAATGACACGTTTTAACTACAAATATATTTCATAATTAAAAATATGATTGCTAATCAAATATATATATATATATATATTTTGTGATTCCAGTCTGCAACAGCAGAAGAAAACGCAATAGAGGTTGTCTCGTGTAAGCTGCATGCACAAAAATAGAGCCTCATATGGCAAAAATAAATTCGATCCTACCTAAGATAGACAACTACAACCGAAAATGAGGGTATTAGGGTTAGAAGATATTTTTAGTTTATTTATTTTTAATGTAATTTTTAATTATATATTAATAATTAAATTATTTAATAAAAATATTATCGATATGGCATAACACCGAAATATCAACATTCCAGAAATAAATTCTAATATTGTACTTACTTTTTTGACACAATACCAATACTATACTGAGAATTTTGATATGCCAAAATTTTTCGGTACAAAAGTCAGTATTTTCGGTAAATTTCTCCATTCTCATATATAACATTAGCATATGGCCTATTATGTCGAGCTTTTACCCATATTTGCACTTACCCATATTTGCACTAAGTGCCCGCTAACATCTATTTCTTTAACTATTCGTCTATATGGTGATCTTTTCTTTAAAATGATATTTTCAAATTTAAATGGATCAAACATAGTTCGATCACTATTTTGGACTACATTGTTTTGTTGAACACAATTGTCTCACCATTAATTATTTTCATATTATTTGTTTTCCATATGCTAGAGACGGTCCGTCTCGAGATACCTAGGGATTCGATGCGCTCTTAAAAAATCTTGACCCGTACTACTTTTCCACTTTTATCGTGCTCTAACAGAAATTGGGCCACCCGTATTTTTGTCTCTATTGAAAGATTTGTTTTGTTACTTCCTTTGGGTCCATAGTAGGTGTAAAAACTACTTTGGATATGAGTTCGATTGCTTCAAGGTTGTTGTTTTGGTGGGTAAATGAGTATTAAATATGAAAAAATTACAAAAAAATATTCCTCATATATATATCTCATTATCACTTTTTTTTCTATATTTAAATATATTTTATATATTTGCAAAAATCGTTATTTATGTTCTTTAGCCGCGCATGACGTTCACACCACGCGTAGCTACGCGCGGCCAAAGGATATAAATGACGACTTTTATAAATATATTGAACATAATTTACCAACGAAATAAATACGAGACAAAAGTGATAATGAAATATATATGTGAGATATTTTTTGCAATTTTCCCTACTAAATATTGTTATCCTCACGTATTTATAGATGTACTATAATTAATGATTTAGTTGGATTTAGGGGGCAATTTTTTAGTGGCCAATATGATGAGAAATATTTTTGTGGAGAAATGGAGGGATAGAATTAGAGCCAAATGAAAGTTTGAATAAATTTGGAATGAGCTCTGTGTTTTTATGGTAGACAATATACATCTCTTATATAGAAAGCATGATGAAAATCTAATTGACTAATACAAATAATGATATTTACTTTCATTGGATTCAGATACATACATAAAGTGTATAAATTTTATTTTATAGTTGTTAAAATATATTTATAAGCAATATATTATATTTATGGTAGTTATCTTATTTAAGAGATTCATGGGATTCTTGTCTTATTTAGACGATTTGTATATCACTATAAATATGTGTGTATTCTTATGATTGAAATAGAGAATTTCAGTTTTATATTATAACATCGTATCGGAGCCAAATTTTCTCCGTGTACCTCCATAACCCGTTATATTCCGTATATATTTTTATATTTTATTAATGTATTTGCTTCTATCTTCGATCATGTTGTTATTTTCATGTTGTCTCCGCTTCTACTACTCTACTAACAGAGTCTACTTTCGACTATAAAGCCGTTGAGAGACATGTTTTCGACTCTAACTCTATTGGAAGCGAGGGAGTCCTGTTTCCGACTCTAGCTCTATTGTGAGCGAGTGAGTCCTGTTTTCGACTCTAGCTCTATAGAGTGAGCGAGTCCTATTTCCGGCTCTAGTTCCATTGTGAGCGAGCGAGTCCTGTTTCCAACTCTAACGGTGTTAAGAGTTCTGCTTCTGACTCTGATCCAGTGGACGACTACATCACTCTCAGTCAATCTTGGCGAATTCAAATTCGTACGTGGAAGATCTCGGTTGTATCTTTTTCGGTCACTTCTGACAAACTCAAGTTTGTTCGATCATATCTTGAGTTTGAGGAGGGGTGTTAAAATATATTTAGAAGCAATATATTATATTTACGGTAATTATCTTATTTAAGATATTCGTGAGATTCTTATCTTATTTAGACGATTTGTATATCACTATAAATATGTGCGTATTTTTATGATTGAAATAGAGAATTTCAGTTTTATATTCTAACAATACTAAACTATTATAAACATCAATAGTTAACGATGATGTTCATGGATCTGTTAAATACTGATCAAACTAACAATGATTTTTTAATATTCGTAGGTCAATCAATCAATGAAGGGTTAACATAATGATTAAGTTAGAAATTTCTTCGAATCCAATGGGTAGGATATAAAAAAATGTATCAATAAATACTTCTAAAAGACAAAAGAAGAGTTGACGAATAATTAGATATGTCAATGGAGGGACCATTGTAAGTGCTACAGTGGAAGATGTTCCATTGTTTTCGAAATATCCATCTAGATTTAATGAAGTTTAATGTATAAATAATTGCGAGTTCTTTATAAAAATTTAAGTATCATTTTTATATCAATAAAGCATCCAACATTTGATCTAAACATTCATTTCAACATTTTTTTTTAGTTTCTAAATTTGTTGTTCGTATCACACAATTTTTCGAGGCTTGTTACAGAATAAATCGAACAATATATGTGTATATTATAAAAATACATATCTACATAAATCTCAAATTTATTTATTTATTTATTTTTTACATAAACCCTTGACAACATATCATAATATCTCATATAATATATAATAGAATATGTAATAGCACAAATATAATCTGTCTAAAGTATAAACAGAGAGTATGAATTGTCGTCCCGACTAATGCAAAATTTTTATTTCTTATATTTATAAATGATTAGTTAAATATATGAAGGCAAAATGTCATGAATGTTAATACATTTTTTGGAAAAGTGTAACATATAATTTAATACAAAATAGTCTTTTTCTATCTAATATTATTATTATTATTATGATGATTTGATATATATAAATATACATATATATAGAAAGTTGATACACAAATAATTCACCTCTAAATGTCTGATAATTTTTAAAGTAACAAAATAACGATTTCACAAATTTTAATTTATTATAGTATTTAATTTCATTTGATAAAGTATATTTATAAATTATATATTACATATGTATAAAATACAAAAAATATAATTTATATTATATAAAATATGTGGAAAATGCCTAATAAAAAAAATTGAAAGCAGGATAAAATTTTCTCAACAACATAAGAGGCATCTACGATACATCACATAAATTACATCAAAATATATTTTCAATAAAAATGTATTTTTTGCAAAATCTGTTTGAAAATCCCACAAATAATCATCTTGATTCATGCAAAAAAAATTAAATAAAAATCAGTAAACAAAACCATTTTACTTCTGCTTTCCCTTACTCCTACCTTACCCCAGCTCTTTCACAAGTAACTATATCCTTTTTTCACTATTTTTATGACTTACCTTTCTCAAGATTTTGTAGCATATAGGAATATGGGAGATGGAATCGATTATTAGAATATAATTTGAAGCGGAGACGTCGACAAAAGTGGACAACAACAGTGTATAGCGGAGGGCTAGAAGAAGGGCTTGCGGGCAGGGAAAAAGACGCCGTAAAAATTTCGTGAAATAAAATAAATTGTAAATGATCGAGAATATTAGTATTTACATATATTTATATTGCACACTAATGGTGTTGATGTTTACGCCCTAAGACAAACCTATTTGATTGAAAAAGTTGAGAGTATTTATGCATTATACATATTAAAAGTCGGTATAATTTGTACATTTAATGTGAAAGCATGAATAAATTAATTTATACAACAATATATCATGCCTTTACTAGACAACACATTCCGTAATAAAAGACATGTATGACTTTGTCCGTGAACTTATGCCTGAAAGATCATGAGTTGAAAATATTTTTATCAATATTTTTTCAGTTAATTTATCGCACAATATTTTCTCAGTGTGACTTTCTGAATTAGCATGATTTGCAGGTTATTGCATTCAATTTAGGAATTTACTCGTCATGAAAAGTTATAAATACAATAAATATTATTAATTATGAATTAACCTTATTAAAACTACTCAATATTATATCCAATTATCTTAATCTTAATCTATAATTATTTTATTTTTATTAATACACTTCTTAATTACTTATTAATTATACTTTACCTAAATTCTCGTATCTACAGTAATAGACACATATTATCTAGGACGGAGGAAGTATATATTTTTAATGGGAATGCGCGGTGATAAATAACGTTAATTTTAGTTTGAAATTACAACCAAATACACCCTACATGCATGATCTATATACACTAAATATCATACGAAACAAAAAAGAAGATTTGATAGTTAATGTTATTGGATCGGTCCACTTGCTAAGTATATATTTTTTCATTTTGTGTTGTTCAAACACAACATATATTTTTTAGTATGTATGAACCTCATTGGATATTACAAATACTATCACATTATAGGGATAAATTTCATGCAAAAAGTAAATATTTGCTTTTGAAAAAGACAAAAGGAGTGTAAATAATAATCACTGAAATCATACCAAAAAAACAAATGTATATTTATAAGTATATTTTATTTAATTTATCTTTTTTTCTTTTGTCACATATATATATATATACTGGAAACAAAATATCATAATTTTTTAAATTCCATATATATTTAAAAATTTCAAATCTAATCAAAATTTATTCGTTCAAGCATGTGCACAACACTAGATCATTCTTAACAAGTTAGCAAGAGATTTTTTTTTTTTTTTTTTTTTTTAAATTTATTTCATTACAGTCTATCAGATATTATAAATCTCTACCTCTAATGAAGAATTCAGAAAAATAAACGATTCAATTAATTCAAATTGCGGCGCGTACCTCAATCCTATGTTCTCTTCTATCCTTCTCTCCATCGAACTCCACAATTTCTATGCATTCTTCGGTGTAAGTCATTGCTGAATCTTCATCACGGAGCCATCCCTGAATCTTCATCCGTATTATCGTACCTGTTGGAGTGGATGCTCAGTTCAAGAACTGTGAATTCATCGTGATCAAGGCCAAAAAGTCGAGCATAAATAGCATCTCGATTCCTCGCGTGCTCCAAAATTTATGCAGAAGGTTGAGTCATAGACTTGCTGTCTTTCTTCTCCAAATTTGCATATTCAGCTGAACAAATAGATATGATTATGTGACCGTCTGTCTCTGTGATAAACCATAATTTTCAATTTTAGGTTTTTCTTCAACTTACAAAAAAAGTTTAATTGTATCTTAAAGTTCAAATTATTAGGTGAGATTGTTATTTAGAATAATTAATCACTGGCAACCAAAAAAACATGAGCACACAACTCAATCATTACCTTCTTAGTCTACCTCGACATCGCTACCGAATAAAGTGTAGTACATCTACAAAAGGGAAATGCAATTTTCAGATATGGCGATTATTGTAGTTTCTGAAATGGAATCAGTATATCTTCAAGATCGATATACTTACCATCTCCCTCGAAACATCATGGTTCCTGTCTGCGCATCTTTCATTTAGAGCTTCTTGATGTTCAGGCTGCAAACCATTGAAAGGGCATTGGTACCATCACTATCAAATATGAAATAAAAAATTTAGGAATTAATGCATTTTTAGTGAAGAAGTCGTTTCAATTCATGCGGGCCATGTTGGTGAAATCATAAATGTCTTTCTTTCTATCCATATAATTTGTTACTTAGATCGAGCATGAGAACAAACACTTACAACAGATCGCATTCTCCTGCTGCTGGTCCAGTTTTCTTCGAAAGTATACTCGAATCACTTCTGAAGTGATTCTTCTTCTCTCCAATCTCCGTCGCCCACGGTGGAATTGTTACCACCTCCGGTGCTATCTCCGATGGAGAAACTCTGTCAATCCTTCGTGCAAGATTCAGTCTCTCAGTATTTACTGCAGTGTCTCCCCCATTCCTCCCCACCATCGATGGAGAATTCATCCTCTCGGCTCTTATTGCAGTAGCTCCGTCGTTCACCGGCACCATCGAAGCAGAGTTTGACTCAGCAGCTGCCATCGCATTATTATGCACACTTTGATTCTCAATAACTGCACTCAATTCGGATATGGAGTATTATGATAATTTCAATACAAATTGTTATGCTTCCATTATATATATCGAAAAATTGTTCATAACCATCATGTGATTTTGAAAGAAGCCATTCTCCCTTGTATTACGAAACCGTATGAAACTCTCTCGTCTTTTATAAAATATGCACATAATTTATTTTTAGGCTTTATGTGCAATATTTCATCAAGTACAAAAGAATTTTGTACAAATTTTAGAAAATTTTATGCAATATTTTCTTAAACACAGAATTTCATTAAATTTCTAGATCATATTGGAGAATTGGGCAAAATTTTCTAACTATCTAAAAGCGGATTTTATAAATAATTTTGATTATAGATACGTGTATGTATAAAGACATTGCTTTCATAATGAATGATAAAAAAATTTAAAAAAAAAAAACAAAAAATAGACACTTTAGATCATATATAGTGTTAAGAAGGGATCCGAACTTCCAACCTAAAACCAATCGGTAATAGGTGGAGTGGCTCTTCACCCTTATATAGTAGAAAAGTTCTCACATATTTACCAATTTGAGACAATATTCAATACTCCCCCCTCGAAATAATAATCTCGAAAATCCAAACCGGATCAACACCCAATATGGGGACCATGGCTCTGATATCATGTTAAGAAGGGATTCAAACTTTCAACCTAAAATCAAATTGGTGGTAGGTGGAGTGGTCATTCATCCTTATATAGTAGAGGAGTTCTCACATATTTACTAATAGTAGGACAATATTCAACATATATGATACATTATTGTGGATTAGCTTTAAAATAAATTAATACTAAGATAAATACAATAGATGATATGTTTGTATTTGATAGTTAGAAATCGCATGCGTTTATATTCATATCATATGCGATAATTGGGTGATTTTGATTGGATTCTACATAATTTATATGCAAATTGTTTATTTGCTGTGTGCAGAGGGCAAATATTAAATTTGGCATAATTGGCAAAAAAAATAAAATAAAATAAAATAAATTAAAGACCCAAAAGCCCATCTACAAAATAATTAGGGCAAACATTAAATAAAATGAGGGATCACACGTTTCAAAAGAGAGGACGGCTAGGGCAGAAACGCACAGGAGCAGGAGACTGATAGATCCATAGATCGCGCAGGAGCAAATCGACAGAGAAGATTTCCCCTCCCACTATGACTTCATCTTTCTCTCTTGTTCTTTGTTATTTAATTATGGAGTAGATACTTTTCTGGTTTGAGGGGTGATAATGTTTTGGTTCTTTTGTTTTGGAGATTCTTGATTTTCTTTATAAAAGTTCTTTTTGATTATCAATATTTGTCTAATTCTGATAATAGCGTTTATTATTGTTAGATTGATTGAATATTTTGGTACCGATATTTAAATTAGTCTGATAATCTAAAGTCAATTCAAGTAGGATATCCGTAATTGTATTCGCACTTGAATAGGTGACAACCGAGTTGAATAGTTCCTTCCCGGGGGTTAGACAATCAAATCTAATTGCTTCTCTTAGATAGTAATTGTTTTGAATTGGGTTTTTCTAGATTGGAATGCGGTTAGGCAATATTCTTATGGGCACACCTAGGTTTATTTGCTTAATTAGGGATAGTTAACGGTCGTACCTTAATTACCTACACCGCAAGGAAAAATTGGTTGTCAGAGCTTTTTGATAACTATAACCAATTTATTGATACTTTAATAAGAATTAATTTAATTGAATTAATGATAGAACACAAGTGCCATAACTGCATCATCCCTTGAGCCAGACATCCCCTTGATAGTCAGTTCCCCTTTAATTTAATTGCTTTGTTATTTTATTTTAATTAGATAATAAAAGAAAAATCCCCCTTTATTTATTGCATTAGAACACGAAAGAGTGAATCACACAATCCCTGTGGAGACGATCCCTTCCCCTATATTACATTAAACTATGATCACGGAGTAGGTGAAATATTTGATTGACCGCGCGACAGGTCAATTTTTGGCGCCGTTGCCGGGGATTGGCGCTTTGTTTTACTCTTTTGTATTATTTTAATTTATCCTCTTGTTTATGCCCCGTTCTTCTCGTACAGGTGAACTGATATTTAATCTTGAGATCGAGAAGGTTGAGCGAAAGCTACGAAAGGAAGCCAAGCAACGAAAAGCTGCTCAGGTTGCGAAGCTGGCAGAATCTTTAAACTACCTCAAAATCTCTAGCTTTAGCGACTCTGAAAGTGATCAAGAGACTGTCATGGCTGAAGATACCCGCACTTTAAGGGAGTTAGCTGCTCCCGACTTGGCGCAGCAGCCCTTATGCATTAACTTTCCAACTCTGAATAACACTATTGCTTTTGAACTGAAATCTGGATTAATTCATTTATTGCCTTCTTTTCATGGACTTGCAGGTGAAGAACCTCACAAACACTTGCAAGAGTTCGACGTGGTGTGCTCCAGCATGAAACCACCAGGTGTTACTGATGAACAGATCAAACTCAGAGCCTTCCCATTCTCACTCAAAGATGCTGCAAAGGATTGGCTCTACTATCTCCCACCTGGAAGCATCGACACGTGGAACGACATGAAAAAGAAATTTTTGGAGAAGTACTTTCCAGCTTCCAGAGCTGCGATCCTGAGGAAGGAGATATGTGGTATCAAACAACAATCAGGTGAAAGGCTCCATGAATATTGGGAGCGATTTAATAAGCTTATCATTAAATGTCCACAACATCAAATTCCCCCTCAACTATTGATTCAATATTTTTATGATGGTTTATTATTCATGGACAGGAACATCATCGACGCTGCAAGTGGTGGAGCTCTAGTAAATAAGACGCCGGCACAAGCTTGGGATCTTATTTCGAGGATGGCTGAAAACACGCAGCAATTTGGTTCAAGGGATGTTGGACAGATGAGCGGAAACAACAGTGACCATGCCATCCAATCGATGCAACAACAACTTTCTGAGTTGACGAGCTTCGTTCGCAAGATGGTCGTGGAAAAATCCAACCCGAGTGTCCAAGTCAAGGTGTGTGGAATATGCACGAGTGCAGGACACCCTACAGATGCATGTCCGACCCTCCAAGAAGAATGTGCAGTGGATGTGAACACTGCAAACTACGGTATGAATAGACCTTCAGCGTACAATCCATACTCCAACACCTACAATCCAGGCTGGAGAGATCATCCGAACTTGCGTTATGGAAACGCACAGCAGGGTAATGCTCATCAACCATTTGGAGCTATGCAGCAGATGCAACAACCTCGTTTCTATGAAAAACAGCCGCCTCAAGCACCCACAAGCAACTCCAGTCCATCTTTGGAAGACTTGGTGAAGTCTATGGCTACCAGTACCATGCAATTCCAGCAATAGATGAAGTCAACTGTCGACAAATTACAAGGTCAGATCAATCAAGTGTCAGAGGAGGTGAAACAACTACGTGAAAGAGGAAAGTGGCCTGCTCAGCCTGAGCCAAATCCAGCAAATGTCAGCGCCATCACTATCTGCAGAGATACGATGATTGAATGTTCCTCCCGGCCTAATCCAAGGAATACGAGTGCTATAACTCTTCGTAGTGGAAAGGAATTGGAAGGTCCACCTCTTATCTCAAGGGAACAGAATGAGGATCAGATTGAGATGGAGATTGAAAAAGAAGCTGAACTTCACGAAAAGGTACTTCCTGACTCTGTTCCTCCTACTGAAACTAAATCAGCTCCTTTTCCTGACAGGTTGAAGAAACCACAAAAGGCAAACAAACGAAAAGAGATGATGGAAATATTCAAGAAGGTAGAACTTAATATCCCGCTCCTGGAGGCTATCAACCAAATCCCCAAGTACGCAAAGTTTTTGAAAGAACTGTGCACTAACAAAAGGAAATTGCGAGGGGACGAGCATATTATAGCGGGTGAGAATGTTTCTGCTGTTATCAAGAGAAAGGTACCACCTAAAACAGGTGATCCAGGTATGTTTTCTATCCCTTGTAAGATTGGAAAAACTGAGATAACTAAGGCTATGCTAGATCTAGGAGCTGCTATTAATGTCATGCCTCGATCAATATACGACTCTTTAAATCTAGGGCCTTTAAAAGAAACAGGAATTATTATTCAACTTGCTGATCGAACCCATGCTTATCCAGATGGTATGATAGAAGATGTATTAGTTCAAGTGAATGAATTGATTTTTCCTGTTGATTTCATATTCTGGATATGCATGATGCACACTGCTCTAATCCACCGCCTCTTTTGTTAGGAAGACCTTTTATGTGCACTGCAGGAACAAAGATAGATGTTAAAAAGGGCACACTCAGCTTGGAATTTGATGGAGAAGAATTTCATTTCAATATTTTTAATCCCATCAAATGTCCTGTTGAATCTGAATCGTTATATGCAATTAATGTTATTAATTCTGTGGTGCAGGAAACTTGTGAGGTTGGTAATAAGAATAAACGAAGAACTTTGTTGACAAAACAGTTAGAGAAAAGACCAACTTGAGAGAGTAAGAAAAGAAAAAAGATTGTCGAAAAGTAGAGATGGATTCCCAAGGGATCACCATTGCTGGCAGCAAAAAAATATCATAAGGAGAATCAAAATTCTAAACCGAAGAAAAAGTGTGTGGCCAATAGACATCGCTTCAAATTATACCATGAGGGACCCTCACTTGATCCTATAAAGTTGGCACCCGTTGCCAATTTCGATGTTCAGAATTGATGCGAGGCGAAGTCTAGCTCAAAGACTATAAAGAAAAGCGCTTTTTGGGAGACAACCCAAAATCATTTAATTGCTTTCTTTAATTTTATTTATTTTTATTATTTAATTGCTAATAACACTTTTGATAGTTTTGTTTGGTTTAGTCGCCACCTCCAACCTCCGGCGCCGTCGACTTCTTCCTTCCCTACTCAGTCATCACCGATCACCACATCCGCTCCTCTAAATGGCTTGCGTTGGTTAGTTGTTTTCGCAGGACTCAGGAGAACTTCAAGCCTCCCTAAAAATCACGATCAAATGAAGAGGTGTTAACAAAGCTCCCAACTACTACACCCCCTATGGACTCCAAGGAAGTTCCTCTCTTCTTTTATTGCTTTCTTTACATTGAGGACAATGCATACTTTAGGTGTGGGGAGAGTTATGCAAATTTTTGGGCAAAATTTTCAATTTTGTTTTGCTACTTTTTATACCTGATTTGCTGTCCTTTCGCGTGTTTTTGAGATTTGTCTGAAGTGAGTCAAAGGTGGTTTGTGTGATAGGTTTGTCTAGCATGACTAATGAGATTTGATTGGTGATATATTGAGTCAAGTCGACGTTTGAACCCTGTGAGAATTTGAGCCTATGTTCCAAAGTTACAGTAGAAAATAAATTGCATATATTCAAGCTTTTGGAAAAAAATTTTCATGTGTGATTTGTAGTGCTCAATTAGATGACCTAGAACTTGAGTGATTATGCATGTTGAACTTGCAACTATCGGGTTTTGCGTTTTGAAAATGATAAGGGCATTAGGTAACCCATTAAGCCTTTCTTTATTACCCAGCACAATATATTCCCCTAGTTAGCCCATTTGAGCCTTCTTAGCCTATTTTTTTCTTTTATAGTAAACTGTTTTTTTAGCCTCATACCCTTCTTTCGATTGAGCCTTCTCCGATTTGAACTCTATGTTAGAAACAATTACTTTAAGTCCATGTTGTGATGCACTTTATTTCTTCGGCACTAGTTAGAAACGAACTTTGGTACGAATAAGTCATAGTATGAAGGAATAACTGTGGGTAGTGTAGGTATATATATATAGGCAAAAGCCAAAAATCAAAAATCAAAAATCAAAAAAATCAAAAAAAAAAAATAATTCAAAAAATCAAAAAATCAAAAAAAAAATAAAAAATCAATCAAAAAAAAATAAAAAAAAAAACGAAAAAAAATAATAATAAAAAAAAAATAATTATCTTAATAAAGTATTTTCATTATTAAAGTTTGGGTGGTGAATAGAGTAAGGATTTGATTATTTATGCCGATTTGTTCTTCATGTGCTAGCATCGTGTTCTTATTGTGTTTTTTTTCTGACATATTTTAGCCCTTATATATCCTTTTTCCTAACCTGACGATAAGCCCCGTTACAACCCTTATTGGAATACCCTTTGATTCTTTATGCTAGATTCGAATATTTTAAGCAAGGGAGATTTGATTTTTACTCAAGCCTATAGAATAATCTTTTGTTGCACTACCTGAGTGTTGATCCAATTATACACTTAATTCTTTCAGAGAGCATGTGAGAATACACTTTATCTTGTGAGGTTGACTTGGCTTGATGTATTAAAATTCGAATTGAATTGGTTGTGTTGGACCCTCTTGTCATACCGAGTTGCCTGCGATTTCTTTGGCTTATTTCGAATTTATGCTTAAGGGCAAGCATGATCTAGGTGTGGGGAGAATTGATAGTTAGAAATCGCATGCGTTTTATATTCATATCATATGCGATAATTGGGTGATTTTGATTGGATTCTACCTAATTTATATGCAAATTGTTTATTTGCTGTGTGCAGAGGGCAAATATTAAATTTGGCATAATTGGCAAAAAAAATAAAATAAAATAAAATAAATTAAAGACCCAAAAGCCCATCTACAAAATAATTAGGGCAAACATTAAATAAAATGAGGGATCACACGTTTCAAAAGAGAGGACGGCTAGGGCAGAAACGCACAGGAGCATGAGACTGATAGATCCATAGATCGCGCAGGAGCAAATCGACAGAGAAGATTTCCCCTCCCACTATGACTTCATCTTTCTCTCTTGTTCTTTGTTATTTAATTATGGAGTAGATACTTTTCTGGTTTGAGGGGTGATAATGTTTTGGTTCTTTTGTTTTGGAGATTCTTGATTTTCTTTATAAAAGTTCTTTTTGATTATCAATATTTGTCTAATTCTGATAATAGCGTTTATTATTGTTAGATTGATTGAATATTTTGGTACCGATATTTAAATTAGTCTGATAATCTAAAGTCAATTCAAGTAGAATATCCGTAATTGTATTCGCACTTGAATAGGTGACAACCGAGTTGAATCGTTCCTTCCCGGGGGTTAGACAATCAAATCTAATTGCTTCTCTTAGATAGTAATTGTTTTGAATTGGGTTTTTCTAGATTGGAATGCGGTTAGGCAATATTCTTATGGGCACACCTAGGTTTATTTGCTTAATTAGGGGTAGTTAACGGTTGTACCTTAATTACCTACACCGCAAGGAAAAATTGGTTGTCAGAGTTTGTTGATAACTATAACCAATTTATTGATACTTTAATAAGAATTAATTTAATTGAATTAATGATAGAACACAAGTGCCATAACTGCATCATCCCTTGAGCCAGACATCCCCTTGATAGTCAGTTCCCCTTTAATTTAATTGCTTTGTTATTTTATTTTAATTAGATAATAAAAGAAAAATCCCCCTTTATTTATTGCATTAGAACACGAAAGAGTGAATCACACAATCCCTGTGGAGACGATCCCTTCCCCTATATTACATTAAACTGTGATCACGGAGTAGGTGAAATATTTGATTGACCGCGCGACAGGTCAGTATTTTATGGTTGAATTTTGAAATTAAAATAATTTTATTATGCATTAACTTACTATAAATAAATGAAAATATATGGATTGTGCATATCATATATAGATAAATAACTATTTTCACCTTTGACATCAAAGGACTGAAGTTTACATTTACTTGCATATCATGTGTAAGCAATCAAAATGGCTTACAATACATCTCCATTTACATGGAAAATAAAGCATTTTGAAAAAGTTTCAAAAATATCTTCCAACTTTATGATGATTATTTGAGGATTTACAGTAACATAACATATAATGCAAAATCAAGAAAGAATATACTTGATAGAAATAAAGTAATGCAACTTATGCTAATGCTTTAAAAATGTTATAGATACCTTTATTTTTAAAATTTGTGACCGAATTGTTCTCCTATTTTGTTGTGGTATTCGACCACTAGGAGCAACTAGAATCGATCGATCTTCTCTATGAGCAGCACTTGTGGCTAAGACTTTTCTCTTTCCTTTTTTACTATTTAATTGATGGTTATCCTACAAAAAATAAGGCATATAAGATTAATTAGAATTTAAAAGCTTTAAAAAGAATACTGGAAGTTTTACGATAACGCGAATATAAGATTAGTAAAAAAGAATAATATTTTTTTACAAAAGTTAATCTCTTGAATTATTATTATTATCACCATCTGATGACTCGGTACATTTAGAAAAAAAAAAAAAAAAATCTTACCCTATTGTCAAGAGAGGATTAAGGGTTATAAATTACAGTGTCCTTTCGAAAATTGCCAAAAAGAAAATCTCAAATATCATATTTATAAAAATAAAAACTCATTAAATCTTTACTAGCTTTCCATAATCTCATTGGTTATAAATAAACAATTCTTTCACCGTTCTAATTTTAATTTGTCAATTGATTTGAGTTTTTTGTCAAAAACTTTGAATATATCAAAAGAACACCGATTATACCAAACAACTTGATATATATATATATATAAATATATATATATATATGAGTTTCTCATTTAATTTTAGTCATTGAAGTGAATTTTTCAAACTTGAGCATCGAAAGAATCTCAAGCAAATATATAATAACTAGATCTAGTCTGACTAAAAGCATAAGTAGACGAAAATAATGTCAATAATGTACCAAGAGATAGAGAGAGAAAAAGAGATTTGAAGAATAAAATCACACGAAAATTTTATGGGTTGTTTGTTTTGTGAAAACAAATCAACGTATTTCCTCCAAAAAAATTAATATGTTATATAAACTAATTATTTTTATATTACCTACACAAATTCCTATATCTTATATATAAAAAATATCTTTTCAAATCATTTCACAAAACAAACAAACGCTTTGACTCTCCATAAAAAGCATAGAATTTCAAATTTTTTTAAATTTTAATTGGTTAAGTTAAAATCTAAATTTAAGAAACTTGTGCAAGACAATTTTTATATAGATGAAAAATGACAATATCTCATAATCAAAGATGTACAGTAAAAACAATGATATAGAGAGATTTAGATTGTTATATAAAAATTCAATTACTATGATTTTTCAAAGAAAATGGTCCGAAAAATTGCAAAAAATATCCCCATGTATACTCCATTATTACTTTTGTTCTATATTTATTTTGCTGGAAAAATATATCCCATATATTTTGCGAAAGTTGTTATTTCTATTTTTTGGCCACACGTAGCCATACGTGATCGCGCGTGGTGTGAACATCGCGCACGGCCAAAGTACAGAAATAGCGACTTTTGCAAATATATAGGATATATTTTTCCAGAGAGATAAATACATGACAAAAGTGATAGTAAGGTATACATAGGAAATATATTTTGCAATTTTCTGAAAAATGGTCTATTAACACTATCTAAGAAGTTTTAAATAGAAATTGGTATAAAAGAACTCTTACAATTTTGTAAAAAAATGGATGAAAGACAAAAAAGTGTTGTGTTATCTTTTACCTTAAATCTTGCTTCAAGAAAACGGCAGAAAAAAAATAACTTTCACAATTCATATTTAAAGTGTATTGAAAGAATAAAAAATGTATGAAAAAATAAAATTTGGTCAAACTGAAACTATAAATAAATAAAAAGATGTACATTGTATTAAAAAAAAAAAGGGAAGAAAAGACGACATATATTAAAGTATATAAAAAAAGAAACATCACCTTGAATTTAGAATTGATTCTCTAAAAAATTATTTAGAACGTTTAAATGTCTTGATTTTCTAGTGCTCAAATCTCGAAGAACAATATTTTATGAATTGGTTGATATATGACAAAATCCACCGACCTCACATACCGAGAAATTTAATTCACTATATGAAATTTTCTATTATTACCCTCACCTACCATCTAACGAGAAGATTTTCATTATATAGAAATTCTATCATTAGCCTCAATATTGTTCAAAGCAAATACACCATCAACAATATTCTAAAAAAATTGAAAACTATTTTTTTTTTTTTTTTTTTTGTCTCATAACTAACCCCCTTATCATTTTAGTCCTACAACTGAAGTTTGTATAGAAATCATCCGTAAGTAATTTTTTTTCACAATTTATCCTCCGATTCCGGAGATGCACATGTGGCAGTCTGGCACACCAAAGCACACGTGTCCGATAGGTAGGCGCCATCTAGTAGACACATGGAATTTTTGTTTTTAGTCCCACAGATGATCCTCTTATCGTTTGTCTTAAATTGACTTTATTTTTGCGTCTATCTAACGGATACGTGTGCTTCGATGTGGTAGGCGGGTGCTACGTGCGTATTTTCAGGCTGCAGGACTAATTGTGGAAAAAAGAATTTACTTATGGGAAGATTTTTATAAATATTTCATAAGTTATGGAACTAAAATGATAAATAGTTAGTTATTATACTAAAAAAAAAAAATCATTTAACAAATTGAATAGAAATAAATGTACAAAAAAAAATTTATTCAAAAAAAATACACGAAAGACAACAATTTTTCTTATTTACTTAGACTTTCATATTTGATTCGAGAAAACAATAGAAATGGAATATATATCATGTCTCAATTATAGTTTAATCTTAGAATTGATTTGAGTTTTTAAAAAATCGAGTGTATATTAAAAAAACTAGATCTATTTGAACCAAATGTAAAAATAAATGAATAACAACATAACAATGTTCCAAATTTTGGACAAATGACATCAAAGTGTTGTATTTTTTTATTTTTTTTTCTACCTACAAAGTTCTACAATTGAATGTTGTTTAATATTACCAACTAATTTGAGTGTTTTCAAATGTATATATATATATATAGAGAGAGAGAGGGGGGGGGGGGAGGGGAGTAGAATAAAAATGCATTTTATCTACTTAAATCTAGAATTAAGAAACATGGGCAATCCTTCGAGAAAAAAAATACTATGCTTTCCTCAATCTTCAAATTTCCGTCAAGTAAAATGTGCAAAAATAAAATACTCATTTTACAATTGAATTTAATTTTCATTTGTCGTAGAATTTTACAAAAAATAAAAATAAAAATGAAATAAAACGATATGAAAGTCAATATAATTTGTAACCCACTTTCATTTCAATTGAATCTACCTTTGAAGTCGCCAATAAGTAATGTATTTCACTGATATTCTTTAACCAAATAATAAAGATTAAAAAAAATAATAGAAAGTAAAATTTTATAAGGTTAACCCTAATTAAACTCATATTAGACCATCCCAACAAAACCCTAATCTCAATTCATTATAAGACTTTTCAACCCAACATTGTTTTATCAATAGATTTGGGTTTTTTTAATTCACATGTGTCAAAAGAACTTTTAATGTATCAAAAAGTTAGATCTCCTTAAATAAAAATAAAATAAAATAAAATAAAAACTAGATCTAACGAATTGAAAGTAAAATTGAATGAATAGAAAAATTCACAACTTAGTTATCAAATGAGAGGGAAAAAAAAACGGAATATGTATGAAATTAGATTGAAAAAGAAACATTACCTTAAATTTAGAATGTCTCGAAGAACTAAATCTAAGTGAATCGGAAGTAGGAATAAATGAATAGAAACATCCGCAATTTATTGGTAGGAAGGTGGAGGGATACATGAAAATAGATTGAAAATAAAGAAAAGAAACAATCACCTTAACTTTAGATCGACTCTTCAAAACATGTGTTGAATGTTGAAATTTTTGAATTATTTCGACTGCTCAAACCTATATTTAAGAAACTTGCAGGAGCTTATTTATATAGTAAAAGAAAAACAATATTACACGACAAATAGACCTTAATCTACTCAGACCGTTACTGGGCTCCAAGTGGAAAAAAAAAAAAAAAAAAAATGCTAAAATAAACTTGAGTCCATATTTATTTATTTAAATATATGAAAAGAGTCTTCGACCTTTAAAAGTGGATCAAAAAAATAGTGCAAATCAAATGTGATTCACAACTATATGGCTCGTCAACATACCCATGCCCTAGCCATGATATTATGTCACATAATTTATATAAATTGTATATAAACACAATCAATTTTGTGTTTAACTGTCAATGTGGGGATAGTTGGTTTATAATTTTAACAAATTATCCCATAGTGACTCTTAATTAACAGGCCATAATTATATTTATAAAGCCCAAATTTCCTTAGCCCAACACCTATATATATATATATATATATAAATATATATTAATCCAAACTAATAATTCAATTTAATGTGGTTTGTAGTGGCCGTTAATATTTCTATTCATCGATTAATCGATTTCAAAAATTTTAAATTTAATTTTTAAACAAAATCTAGCAATTATTATTGAAATTGACTTTCCAACATCAAAATATTGACAAGAAATTTAGATCATTATATAGTAATCCCATTAGTATGGTCAATTATCAAAGCAAAAGTACAGTAAAAAATTAGATTAATTGTTGTATTTTCTTCGACCATAAAATTTGGTTAAAAATTACTGAGGAAATGGAATAAATTACATAATTCAAATATAGTTTAATTTTGAGAATTAATTGAGATTTTCAACCCTTGGGTGTAGCAAATGGCATCGAGTCGTATTGAAAAATAAGATTTAATCAAATATATATATATATATATAATATAAATTAATAATCCGCTACATCTTGTTTAAATATATATATATATATATCAATTAATATTTAAATTGATTATCCATCCAACATCAAACAAGAAATTTAGATCAGTATTTGAAAGAGTCGTAACAACTTTAAATACTAATTACTTGAAACCAACGGCGTATAAACATAACTTAAAATAAAACTAAACAAAACTTATTATTATTATTATTATTACATCTGTTTCATAACAATGCTTTGATTAGTGACATGGTATTTTAAAAAATATATCACATACGCCACAATAAATTTCTTCTTCGCCCTCCAACACATTTTATTGTATTCATCTTAATATGTGGTTTCTATGGTTTAGC